CCCTCAGCTCTTCAGCTCAAGGCTAGCGCTCTACCACTTGAGCCACAGCGCCACTTCTGGCTTTTTCTGCTTATGTGGTGCTGAGGAATTGAACCCAAGGCCTTATGCATGCAAGGCAAGCGCTCTACCACTAAGCCACATGCATGCATGAGGCCCTGGGATCAATTCCTCAGCACCACATAAGCAAAAAGAAAAAAGCCAGACGTGGCGCTATGGCTCAAGTGATAGAGCGCTAGCCTTGAGCTGAAGAGCTGAGGGACAGCGCCCAGAGTTCAGGCCCCACGACCGGACCCCAAAAAACAAACAAACAAAAAAAAAGAAGTAGGCTGGAGCCAGGCATCAAAGGTTCATGCTTATAATCCTAGCTACTCAGGAGGTTGAGATCTGAGGGTCACAGTTCAAAGCCAGCCCTAGCAAGAAAGTGCATGAGACTCTTATCTACAATGAACCACCAAAAAGCCAGATGTGGAGCTGTGGCTCAATTGGTAGAATACCAGACCAGCAAATAAGGTCAAAGACAATGTCCAGGACCTGAGTTCAAGCCCTAGATCTGGGCACAAAATAAATAAATAAATCAAACATCATACACATAGGAAGAAAAAGGAAGAAAATAAATGTCTCTATTCTACCTCCTTGGCTGGTTCAGGCTGTTTTCCTTCCACACCCTCTCCTAGAGAAACCCCATCTAAATGTCCCTGTATTTTTGGACCTCAGCCTGAAAATCCCTTAGTCTGTGCTCTTCTTTGTTGGTGGTCATGGGGCTTGAACTCTGGGCCTGGGCACTGTCCCTGAACTCTTCAGCTCCAGGCTAGCACTCTACCATTTGAGCTACAATACTTTTTCCAGTTTTTGAGCGTTAATGGAGTTAAGAGTCTCACGGCCTTTCCTGCCCCGGGCTGGCTTTGAACGACGATCTACTTATTTCAGCCCCCTCAGTTGCTATGATTATCTGTCTGTGCCCCTGGCACCTGGCTGAGACGCTTATCTCCAATAAACCACTCAGAAGACCGGAAGTGGCACTGTGGCTCAAGTGGTAGTGTGCTAGCCTTGAGCTGAAGACCTTAGGGACAGTGCCCAGAGTTATAGCCCCAGGACCAATCAAAAACAAAAGAAGAAGAAAAAGAAGGGGGAGGGAGGGAAGTGGGGGGAGAGGAGGAGGAGGAGGAGGAGGAGGAGGAGGAGGAGGAAGAGGAGGAGGAGCTGCTTTTAGTCTTCAGGAAGCATCAGAATCGCCAGAAGAAAACTAGATTCCTGGTGTTCCTGACAAGGAGAGGTCTGGTTCTTTACTGAGCTTTGGAAAGCTATTTTTTATTTTGTTTTTGTTTTTATTTTTCACCCATGTCCAATGACAGGAAAGGAGTTAATTGCAGCCATTTCTGAGTGTGACCACTAGAGGGCGAGCAGCACCAAGCTAAATGACAGGCAGGTGCCTGTCGTGAGGACTTTGCAGATAGGCAGGGGAAAGAGGACAGATTTCCTAGGGGAAGGAGGCTCGCAGCCAGCACTGGGCTCCAAGCTAAGCCTTGCTCGTTTTTTAACTGCACTCTAGAGCCACGCCTGCAATTTCTGTTGACTCAGACAGTATCTGTGGTTTAGATGGGAAAACCAAACTCTAAACAGGACAAGGTCTTAGTGGCAGCTGCCCTGCCTTCTATTCTAGGAGCCCACTATGAGTCAGCTCTCAGTGCCCAGAGGATGGGACACCGACTGATGGCCAGGATGGAGGTCAGCCTGGATGGTGGTCCCCTGCCCGCAGCTGTGGTCGGCCTTGGTGACTCAGCTTCCAACTCTGATCTGCAGAAGGAGGGAGAAAAACACTGGATCTAAAAGGGCTCTCAAGCGTCCAGCTGTGGCCCAGCTCTTCTGGATCTCAAGATCCCACGAGATGACTGTGGCCAGGGCCCTCAAGGATTTGTTTCTTGAAGATAGCTTGGGCAACCTGCGGCCTAACCCGGCACTGTGTTGATCTCTATGGGGGTGCGGGTGGGGTGGCGCCTGGGCGCTGAATAGAGAAGGCTCTTATCCTATTGGTGTGGACAAAACAGGCCGAGTACTCCAGCTAGGGCGGACTCCACCCAGCAGAAGCGGTGACACCTTGGGAAGAAGGAGGAGGAGGAGCTGATGGGATCTGGGCGGGAGGCGGAAAAGAAGCTGCGGGCCTGCAGGCAGCAAAAGACGTGCGAAAGCGCGGAGGGGCGTGGCCACTAAGGGGGCGTGGCCACGTGGGCTGGACCTATCGGGCGTGGCCGGGGCTCAGCCCAACTTTCCGGGTGGGGCGCGGGCGGAGGGGGCGGGGCCTGAGCGTGGGGCCACGCCCGCCGCGGACAAACGCTTTGGGAGCCGAAGCCTCCGGCCCGAGCTGCGCGAAGAGGGAGCCGGAGCTGGAGCTGGTGCCGGAGCGGGAGCGGGAGCCGGAGCCGGAGCGGGAGCCAAGCCGACCTCGCCGCTTGGAGCGGCTGGAACGCGGGTCGGTGTCGGCCGCATCTCTTAGGCACTGTGGGAGGCAGCAATCAGCGACCGCCGACCCCCGACCCCAGACCCTCCCAGCTCCTGGGTACCCGGAGCCGTGGTCGCCCGGACCAAGGCCTGGTCACGGCCTGAGCACAAAGGAAGGAGGTCGAGGAGTCGGGATCTCCGCCCGATCGGCCTGGGGACGGCGGGAGAAAGGACCGAGGATTCCATCCGAGAGCGCGGTGTGAGCACGGGCCGGGGAGCGGCGGGGAGACTTCGCTTAGCACCGGGCGGCGGGGGTGCCCGGAGCTCACCAGGCCAAAACCAACCAACACACCAACCAAAAAAAAAACCCGACCAGAAAACCCCAAACGGCTGTGCCTCGGCCCGAGCTGCGCTGTCAGCCCGACACCCCGACCTTGGCTGCCCCCCCCCCCGACCCCGACCTGCCTGAGAGGCGCCCGCGATCCGGCCGGGCCCCAAGCGGCGGAGATCTGCCAGCCCTGCGCTGGGCCCTGAAGACCTGCCTCCTGCCCCAGCCCCACCGGTGCGCATGGGCCGCTGCCCACCCGAGTGCCATGAAGGCAGGATGACCTCAGCCGAAGCCGTGGAAGGGCCCGGAAGGGCCCGGGAGGCTGGCCCCCCCACGTGCTCCCCCGGCACCCCCCAGGTCCTCAGGAGGCCGGGCCGGGCCCGGGTGGCTGTGGCAGCCGTGGTGTGGGTGTTGGCAGGAGCCAGCATGTCCAGCCTGAACAAGTGGGTCTTCACCGTGCATGGGTTCGGGCGGCCCCTGCTCCTGTCTGCCCTGCACATGCTAGCGGCGGCGCTGGCCTGCCACTGGAGGGCACGGCGCCCCATGCCCGGGGGCGCCCACCGCCGAGTCCTGCTGCTCAGTCTCACCTTCGGCACCTCCATGGCCTGTGGCAATGTGGGCCTGAGCACCGTCCCCTTGGACTTGGCACAGCTGGCCACCACCATGACGCCCCTCTTCACGCTGGCCCTGTCGGCGCTGCTGCTGGGCCGAAGACACCACCCCCTTCAGTTCGCAGCCATGGGGCCGCTCTGCCTGGGGGCAGCCTGCAGCCTGGCCGGGGAGCTCCGGGCACCTCCCGCCGGCTGTGGCTTTTTGCTGGCAGCCACTTGCCTGCGAGGCCTCAAATCCGTCCAGCAGAGTGAGTACACGGGGGGAGTCGGGTGGGTGTGTGGTCAGGATGCTCCGAGGGGTGTGGCCGCAGGGAAGACTGGAACTAAGGCCCTGGGCACTGTTTTGAGCTTCTTTGGCTTGAGGCTAGCACTCTACCACTTGAGCTGCAGTTCCACTACCACCAGCTTTTTGGTGATTCATTGACGATCAGAGTCTTACAGACTTTCCTGCCTGAGCTGGCTTTGAACTGTGATCCTCAGATTCCACCCTCCTAAGTAGCTAGGATTACTGGCATGAGCCAATGGCACCTGGCCATTATCTCATTGTATAGAGAGGAAAATTGAGGTTCAAAGAGGTCCTAAGATCTCTATTTTGTTCCCTGTCAAGGTTTTTTAAAATCTTGCTGGGCCTGATAACAGCTGGTACTGTATTATTGATGGATTGATGGAGATACTTTCTTGTGAACAGCACAAGCCACGTTTGAACCCAGGTGCTGGAGACACCCTAGTGTGTGTGGTTTTCAAGTGAAGCTTTGAACACAGAGGGAGGATGAGGAGGGGAAAGAGGTCAAGCCACTGCTATGATTTGAAAGTGTTGGGCTGCAGTGTGACAGGCCTGGAGCTAGATGTTGATCTTTAGTTGTCATAGCAACCATATTATTCATCAGCACTTTACTGGTGATGTGATAAGGCCCATAGAAGGTTTGGAGAGAGGGGTAGAGGGTTGAAAGTGGGTCTTGCTGTGTACTCAGGCTGGCCTCGAACTTGTGATTATCCTGCCAAAGCGGTATCAAGAGGATTTTTGTTTTGTTTTTTGATATACTGGGGTTTGAACTTGGGGCCTTGCGCTTGTTAGGCTACTGTTTTGCCACTTGAATCATACCTCCAAGCCCTGTTTTTGTGTGTGTGTGCGCCAGTCCTGGAGCTTGAACTTAGGATCTGGGCACTGTCCCTGGGATTTTTTTTGCTCAAGGCTCGCATTCTACTATTTGGGCCACAGCTCTACTTTCAGCTTTTTAGTGGTTAATTGGAGGTAAGAATCTCATGAACTTTCCTCAGCCTCCTCAGTAACTAGGATTACAGGCATGAGCCACTGGTGTCTGACATCCAGCAGAGTTTTTTTTTTTTTCTGGTTATTTTCCAGAAATTTACTGCCTTTTCTGGCCTCAAATTGCAATCCACTGGATCTCAGGTTCCTGAGTAGCTAAGGGTTACAGGTCTGAACCACTGTGGCCTGGTATCAAGAAGTTCATGACTGATTCAGGGTCACACACTCCTGAGGACTTCAGGACCCATCCAAGGCTTTAGGCCTAGACTCTATTTTTTTTTTTGGGTCCGGTCGTGGGGCCTGAACTCTGGGCCTGGGCGCTGTCCCTCAGCTCTTCAGCTCAAGGCTAGCGTTCTACTACTTGAGCCACAGCACCACTTCTGGCTTTTTCTGCTTATGTGGTGCTGAGGAATCGAACCCAGGGCCTCATGCATGCAAGGCAAACGCTCTACCACTGAGCCACCTTCCCAGCCCCTAGGCCTAGACTCTATTATACCCATCTGCCTGAGGGTAGCGGTGTTTCCTGCCTATGCTGTTGAGGACAACTGAGGCCCAGCTTGCATCTCAGCCTCAATCCAAGCGAGATCTGGGGAGGGCCAGGGCACATAAGGCTCCGCCTTTGCCTTCATTCATCTTTGTGTGGAGCAGGTTGTCTAGGTTGTCTCTTTCCTCAGTTTCTCCACCTTTTTGGAGCATGAGGAGATTTGAGAGATTCTGGTGGCTCAGGCCTAGGAGAAGAAAGGGATTTCCAGGTGTGCCGGGCTAGGGTTGAGGGCCGGGGAAGGTTGGTGTCTGAACTAGGCCCTGCCGTAGCATCTTTGGAGCTGAAGCCCAGAGGTCCTGTCCCCACTAATTCTGGGCCCTGAGGCAGGATCAAGCCTAGTTCTATTTTAGCCTCTAGTTATATGAGCTCTGGGCATGCGTTGACTCTGGGAAATCTGACCCTATGGGGCCTCCTGGGCAAGGCCACCAAGCCCAGAAGGGCCCAGATTGCACCTGCTGAGACCACATATGCCTCGGGCAGGGCCCAGCCGGCCCCTCCACAGGAGGGGTTGTGGCCAGCCAGGTATTAGAGCATGCGGGCACCAGGTGGCATAGGCCTGGCATCCAGCCACATCCTGGCTTTTGCCAGTCCTCTCCTCCCCCCAGTTCCAGCGTCCTCGCTTCCTGGGTGGGTTGGGCGCTTGCTCTGGGCTGTCCCAGGGCCAGTGTCTCTCTGTGTCCCCAGCACCTGGCCTGGGGCCTGGCAGAGAGCAGTTGGTGGGTAATTCTGGCATCCTGATTGGTAAGCTGGTGGGGTTATCTGGCTCAGATGCTAAGGAGGTAGCGAAGGTAGCCAGAGGCCCCTACTGACAGGAGATAGGAGCCCAGCCAAAATGAGGAAGGACGGGAGCTGGGAGCCCAGATGGGTTTTTTTTTTAAATTTTTTTAATTGAGATTAAGCTGATGGATCCTTCTGTTGTATATTTTCCCATTTCCCTCTGACTCTGTACCTTCCTCCCCAGACTTTTTTTGGGGGGAGAGTCAGTCGTAGGGCTTGAACTCTGGGCCTGGGTGCTGTCCCTCAGCTCTTCAGCTCAAGGCTAGTGCTCTACCACTTGAGCCACAGCACCACTTCCAGCTTTTTCTGCTTATGTGGTGCTGAGGAATCGAACCCAGGGCCTCATGCATGTGAGGCAAGCACTCTACCACTGAGCTACCTTCCCAATCCCCCAGATGGGTTTTTGAGAAAGGTTTATTTTTGCCAGAGGCGCCAGGACTCAATTCAGACTAGAGTGTCAGTGGCTGCTTCCAGCTCTGTATTTGAGATCCGGCCCTTGGGAGGCATGGATCAGAGTCCAGGAGGAAGACAGCTCAGGCAGCTGTGTTGTAGGCTCAGGGGGGCAGCATGGGGAGAGGGGTGATGGTGCCCTCCTGTCCACGGGGCGGGGGGAGGGAGGGAGGGGTGCCAGACTGCTGTGGCTGTTTTCAGCCCTACCCATTGGTATCACAGGGCAGCCTAATGTGGTCTTCTGAGTTTTCAGGCTGACTGGGGGGAGCCTCACTCAGCAGGACAGAACTTCTAGAACAAGGTGGGCACAGGGATGACTGAGGTGGGGCTTCTTCCTATGGATCCCATGGGACAATGTGTTCCGGGATGGGATCCAGGCTGTGCAGGGCACTAGGTAGCAGCCAGCAGAGGCTGGGCACACTGGGTGTCAGGCTCCTGTGAGAGAATATCACCCTTCCCACATTAACTACAAGGAGGCAGAGACATAGAGAGGGTGAGTGCATCACACAGCAAGCGGGGAGTTAACAAGGGGATAGGTATTAGCAGGTGAGAACAGGGTTTGGAGGAGCAGGTGTGTATGAGGCCAGTGCAGATGCTGAGACAAAAAAGCCTGGGGGGGGGGAAGGTTAGTGTGGAGGGTTTGTAGCAGGGGCATTAAGAGGGCAGAATGGCAGGCGTGACTTTTTTGGGGGGATGACTCCCCTCTGGCCCCTGGGAGGGGATATGGAGGGCGGTGGTTGGGCGGGATGGGAGTCAGGTGGGAGAGGCAGGAAGGGAAGGCTAGAACCTGCAGGCCTCCATAGGTGAAGGTCATCTGATGACCTTGACCTTTTTGTGATGAGATCTGAAGTGTGAGGCCTCAGGCAGCTTGTTGGGGTGCTAAATTTGGAGGCCAAGAGAGCAGGAGGCCGGGCCGGTGTGTCAGCCCCGCTGTGGCTCTTTGGAAAGTCTGTGTCAGGAAAAGGCTCAGCCTGGCTCTGCTAGGCAGGGAGTGGCTGGGAAAGGGTTACTCATCCTCCTCAGCTCACACTCACAGAAAGCCCCAAACCAGTGGGCTGCAGTGGCTCATGCCTGGGAGCCTGCTATGTGGAGGCTGAGCTCTGAGGATGGAGGGTCAAAGCTAGCCTGGACAGAAAAGCTCCTCAGGACTCTCCCATCAGCAAAAGCACCTGACCCCCAAAAGAAATGTACTTATTACCTGGGTTATGTAACTGTAACCCCTCTGTACATCATCTTTACAATTAAAAAAAAAGTCCCCTCCACAAATACCTGACTGGAGACCTAACTCAAGTGGTAGAGCACCCAGTCATAACTGCAAAAAGGTGAAGGGGAGTTTGAAGCTCTTAGTTCTAGTTCTGGCACTGGTGCGTGTGCACGTGCGAGCGCGTGTGCACACATACACACACACACACACACACACCCCTGGCAATCACTGCTCTTGTGCACAGGCTGTCATGTGCACACAGCTGGGCTGTGTCTGATTTGATGATGGCTCTGTTTCCTTGGTGGATTAGGCTGGGTAGAAGCAGGTGTGGCTCACGGGTATGACATGCAACTGCACCTGGGCAGGTGGCAGTATAACCCCCCCCCCCCTTGCAACTCTTTCTCTTGAACAGGATTTCCTGTTCATTCTGGATTCATCTACGTAAACCTAGAGTTGGTAGCAAAACCTGCTGCTTGCCGGGGCATGGTGATCCACACCTATAGTCCCAATGACCTGGGAGACAGAGATCCAGAGGGTCCAAGTTTGAGGCTAGCTCAGGCAAAAAGTTACTGCGACACTCCCCCCACCCCATCTCAACCAACAAGCTGGGTATGGTGATTCATGTCTGTAATCCCAGCTATACAGAAGGCGTAGGGAGGAGGATTGCTGTCTGAAGTTAACCTGGGCAAGACAGTAATAACAAAACAAAACAAACCACATGAAACTTTATCTGAAAGATAACTTAAAGCAAAAAGGGCTTAGAAGCATGGCTCATGTGATAGAATATCTAACTATGGTTAACATAAGGTCTGGAGTTCAAATCCCAGTAAAAACCAAACCCCTGCTGATCATCAGTGATAAACAGTGACAGCCCAAATCCAACAATGACTGTGTTTGTTCCCTTGTCATCCCAATGATCAGAAGTGAATGCCACGTTGACTCAAATCATTCTAAGACCCTTCTTGCCTCCTTCGTCATGTTTCCTTCTGCTTCTTCCATTTTCTCCCCTTTTGCGTTCCTAATACACAGCAGTGCTGCGACCTGTCCCTGCTAGGTGGCCAGAGCTAGTGCGGGAATAGATGGCTCTAAGAAAGAGGAGGTTGGGGTAGTGGGTACAGAAGCTTCACAACTGGGTTGTGGTCTTAGGGACTGGTTGAGTGCAGTGGTGCATGCCTGTAATCCCAGCACTCGGGCGCGCGGTTGTTGTGTGCTGACGGCTGCTGTCCTGGCCGCAGGTGCCCTGCTACAGGAAGAGAGGATGGACGCGGTGACCCTGCTGTACGCCACCTCGCTGCCCAGTTTTTGCCTGCTGGCGGGCGCTGCCCTGGTGCTGGAGACTGGCATGGCCCCGCTGCCGGCGCCCACTGACTCCCAGCTCTGGGCCTGCATCTTGCTCAGCTGCTTCCTGTCCGTGGTTTACAACCTGGCCAGCTTCTCCCTGCTGGCCCTCACCTCGGCCCTCACCGTCCACGTCCTGGGCAACCTCACCGTCGTGGGCAACCTCATCCTGTCCCGGGTTCTATTTGGCAGCCAACTTAGCGCCCTCAGCTATGTGGGCATTGTACTGACCCTTTCTGGAATGTTCCTTTATCACAACTGTGAGTTTGTGGCCTCTTGGGCTGCCCGCCGGAGGCTGTGGCACACAGACCAGCCTGGCAAGGGTCTTTGAGACATTGGGGGGACTCCACCAACACTGGATGGCTAGGCCATACCTGGCCTGGCCACTGGGCTGCGTCTGTACCTCGTCAGGATTACTAGCCGCTATGTTGAGAAACCCTCACGTGTCTGGACAATGACAGTGACTTCTGGTATTGCACAATCCCTCCCCAGGGGAGGCAGCAAGGGGGTCCCAGGGAAAGGGCATCCTCACTGCCCAGCTTCCCCAAGGCCTTCAGGGTGGTCTGGGTCAACTCTAGGCAGCTGCTGCTGCTGCATTCTTGGACCATCCAATTTTAAGTCTTCCATCCTCAAATAAACTATTTTTGCTTGAACATCCATGTCATTCCTTGGGGGGGGTGGAGCCGGGGTCTCTAGGGAGAATGGCGGGTCACCATGCAGGAATTAGGACATGCTCCTGAGCCAACCTGGGCTATAGAGGGAGACGGACTCAAAGCCAGGTACAACTGCCTTATACCTGTAATCTTAGCTACTCGGGAAGCAGACACCGAGGGAGTCACAGTTCCAGGCCTGTCCAGGTATCAAAGTCAACAAGACTTTACTCAAACAGAGGCTGGTGGGATGGTGCATGCCTGACATCCCAGAAGCAAAGGGAAACAAATAGGAGGATCGCTGTACAGGCTACATCAGTTAAATCCTATCTCAAGAAATAACCATGGGGCTGGGAAGGTGGCTCAGTGGTAGAGCACTTGCCTTGCATGCCTGAGGCCCTGGGTTCGATTCCTCAGCACCACATAAGCACAAAGAAAAAAGCTGGAAGTGGCGCTGTGGCTCAAGTGGTAGAGCGCTAGCCTTGAGCTGAAGAGCTGAGGGACAGCGCCCAGGCCTAGAGTTCAGGCCCCACGACCGGATAGCCCCCCCACCAAAAAAAAGAAAAAAAAATAACCAATACATAGAGTGTTTGCCTAGCGTGCATGAAGCCCTGGGTTCCATTCCTCAGTATCACATCAACAGAAAAAGCCGGAAGTAGTTCTGTGGTTCAAGTGGTAGAGTGCTAGCCTTGAGCAAAAGAAGCTCAGGGACAGTGCCCAGGCCCTGAGGTCAAGCCCCAGAACTGGCAATAAATAAAATAATCAATATAGCCAAGCACTGGTGACTCATGCCTGTAATCCTTTTTTGTTGTTGTTGTTGGTCATGGGCTTGAACTCTGGGCTTGGGCGCTGTCCCTCATCTCTTCAGCTCAAGGGGACGCTCTACTGCTTGAGCCACAGCGCCACTTCTGGTTTTTCTGAGTGGTTTATTGGAGATAAGAGTTTCACGGACTTTCCTGCCTGCGCTAGCTTTGAACTGATATCCTCAGATTTTAGCCTCCTGAGTAGCTCCTGAGTAGTCGGTGACATTCTTTTTTTTTTTTGGGGGGGGGGTCCGGTTGTAGGGCCTGAACTCTGGGCCTGGGCGCTGTCCCTCAGCTCTTCAGCTCAAGGCTGGCACTCTACCACTTGAGCCACAGCGCCACTTCTGGCTTTTTTCTTTTTGCTTATGTGGTGCTGAGGAATCGAACCCAGGGCCTTGAGCATGCAAGGCAAGCGCTCTACCACTGAGCCACCTTCCCAGCCCTCGGTGACATTGTTATCTCCAATAAATTAGTCAAGAAAAGGGAGAAGTGTTGCTGTGGCTCAAGTGGTAGAGCACTAGCCTTGAACACAAAGAGGCTCAGGTAGAGCACCTAGGGCCAGAGTGCAAGCCCCAGGATTAGCAAAAATAAATAACCAACACAAACAGGGGCTGGCAGAGTTGTGGTAGAATGTCTGTCTAGCAAGCACAAGGAACTGAATTCAAAAAGCTTCCTACTCCAGGATCTGGTCCTGTGGCCTAGCTAGACTCCTGTCTCCTTTGCTTTTCTTCCCTTGGGGCTCTGCACTCCAGCCCCACTGAGCTAAGTGCTAGATAATGTCACCAGAGCCTTTGTACAAGCCATTCCCCAAGGTCTTGGCCCTTCCTGCATTCCTTCCTTCTAATTACATCCTGGCCAGAGAGAGAAAACTTGGGCATACACTTTCTTTGTGTTTGGGGCTAGAACTCAGGGCCTAGACACTGTCTCTGAGCTTTTTTGCTCAAGACTAGCACTCTACCACTTTGAGCCACAGTGCCCCTTCTGGCTTTTTAATGGTTAATTGGAGATAATTCTCTCAGGGGCTTTTCTGCTCTGTTCGACTTGGAACCATGATCCTCAGCTCTCAGCCTCCTGAGCAGCTAGGATTACAGCATGAGCCACTGGTATCTGGCAGCCCACAAACTTTGTGTCCATTCTGGGTAGGATTTAGGGCCTGAGCACTGTCCTTGAGCCTTCTTTTGCTCCATGCTAGTGCTCTACCTTTTTTTTTTTTGTCAGTCCTGGAACTTGAACTCAGGGCCTGGGCACTGTCCCTGAGCTTCTCTATGCTCAAGGCTAGCATTCTACTACTTGAGGCATAGTACCACTTCTGGCTTTTTCTATTTGTGTGGTACTGAGTAATCGAACCCAGAGCTTCATGCGTGGTAGGCAAGCACTCTACCACTAAGCTACATACCACTAAGCCCATAGTGCTCTACCTCTTGAGCCACAGCTTCTGGCTTTTTGCTGGTTAATTGAAGATAAGAGTCTCATGGGCTTTTCTGCTTGGCCTGGCTTCAAATCTTGGATCATCAGATCTGAAACTCCTGAGTAATTAGGATTATAGGCATGAGCCACTTACACCCAGGCCCGCACTCGCTTTGATGGCTGGTCTCTTCAGCCTTCCCTGAGTGTTATACTCTATTCCCAGGCCTGTCACTTCCTCCAGAGACCCTCCGTTAAAGAGTGCTAAGGGCCCATTTTGGAGTCTGGAGACCTGGGACCTAATCGTGTTCTGCCTACCTCACTACCCCAGGTGAACCTGGGATAGATTATCTCCCTAAGTCTTTTTTCCATATCTGAAAAGTGGGGCTGAGGAAGTCCCTGCCTGGGGAGCCCAGGCCAGAAAGCAGGGAACAGCAGTACACACTGGCTCTGTCCGTCTCTTGGGCTCTTTGTGAGGGATGGATAGGAGTGGGGAGCTAGACCAGGCTGGGCCTGGGGTCCAGGGACCCAATCACAGCCCCTTCATGTAACCAGCATTCCATAAAGGACCTTTGTGCCAGCCAGTGGGGGGTGGGGGGGGTACGGGCTGCATGAAGGGTCAGCCCAAGGCTGAGCAGGAGAAGAGAGTAGGTGGTGAGGGCCCAGGAATACAGGCACAGGGTTTCTTGGTCCCAGCCTCCACCCAAGCTGGTCTTACAGGAAGGGAAACAGGCCTGGTTGAGTCACTACCATCCATTCTCTCTGTGACTCAGAGATGCCACTGGGCCCAGCCCAGGCCAGCTGGCATGCGGCTGGGGCATCTCTGGACTCCATGCTCAGGCTTGGCCAGGCATTGGTTGGCCAGAGCCTCCCTGGTGACTCCCAAGCCTTCCACATTAAAGGGGTCACTGCCACCCAGGCTCCTGGGCCCTGGGGGATGGATGCATGTCTCAGAGCAAACCCAGATGATTAAGGTGCATTGGATCCTAGCTTGATTTGGGAGCTGGAGTTAGTTTGCAGCCAGGTTTAGGCAGCAATGCCCCTGGGGAGCAGTTACTGCTCCCCTCACCTCAGAATCCCACCTCACTTTGGCTTTCCACCTGCCTGAAAGCTAGCTTTGTGTGAGAAGTCAGGCAAGATGCCAATGTTAGAAAAAGTGCAAGTATGGGGGCTGGGAAGGTGGCTCAGTGGTAGAGCGCTTGCCTTGCATGCATGAGGCCCTGGGTTCGATTCGTCAGCACCACATAAGCAAAAAGAAAAAAGCCGGAAGTAGCGCTGTGGCTCAAGTGGTAGAGTGCTAGCCTTGAGCTGAAGAGCTGAGGGACAGCGCCCAGGTCCAGAGTTCAGGCCCCATGACCGGACCCAAAAAAAAAAAAAAAGTGCAAGTATGTTTTAATAGTTTATTTCAATAGGCTGGAAGCAGGTCATCTCCAGGGGAAAAATAACACCGTTATTATCGTTATTATTACTATTATTATTATTATTATTGTTTATTGTGTGTGTGCTGGGACTTGAACTTTGGACCTGGGCACTGTTCCTAGCTTTCTCACTCAAGGCTAGCCAGCTCTCTAGTATGTGAGCCACAGCTCCAGTTCAAGGTTTTTGTTGGTTAAATGGAGATAAGAATTTCATACAGCTTTTCCTGCCTGGGCTGGCTTCAAACCTGGATCCTCAGACCTCAGCCTGAGTAGCTAGGATTAAAAGTGTGAACCACTGGCACTCCTCTGGATCTTTTTTTTTTTGCCAGTCCTGGGGCTTGAACTCAGAGCCTAAGTGCTATCCTCAAGCTGCTTTGGCTCAAGGTTGGTGCTCTACCACTTAAGCCACAGCACCACTTCCAGCTTTTTCTGTGTATGTGGTACTGAGGAATGGAACCCAGGGCTTCATGCATGTTAGGCAAGCACCCTACCACTGAGCCACTTTCCCAGCCCTCCTCTGGATCTTAACTTCAGAATAAAATCTTTTTTACCTTATTTGTTTGTTTGTTTTGGTCGGTCGTGGGGCTTGAACTCTGGGCTTGGGCTTGAACTCTGGGCTTGGGGCTTGAACTCTTGGCTTGGGCGCTGTCCCTGTGCTCTTCAGCTCAAGGCGAGCACTCTACTGCTTGAGCCACAGCGCCACTTCCAGTTTTCTAGTGATTTTTATTGGAATAAGAGTCTCACAGACTTTCCTGCCCCGGCTGGCTTTGAACCACTATCAGATCTCAGCCTCCTGAGTAGCTAGGATTACAGGCGTGAGCCACCAGCACCCAGCTCTTTTTTTCTTTTTATTAAGTGGAACTCTCACCTTTTCATTTAAAGGAAGCATCTTACTGCTTATCTGATGTCCTAACTGCCTTCAGGCTATTACTAAGTACAGTAAGGATTACCATGACCACAGTTGCTCTGACAACTAGGATAACTAAGCCCAACAGTGACTAATGGGTAGGTAGTTCAGAAGATGAAGATTCCATGGAAAAGGGACGATCCACATCC